GACTATGTCGCCGCAGTGGCCTTCTCGCCGGACGGCACGACACTGGCCTCGGCATCAGACGACAAGACGGTCAAGCTGTGGGAGGCCAAGACGGGGGCGCTGCTGCAAACGTTGGATATCCACGCTGCTGTCTATACCCTGTCTTTCTCTGAGGACGGTACGCTTCTCCAGACAAACCGTGGGTCTCTGCCTATACCAGCAGAGCTTCTTCCAACTGATACACCTACGAATCGTCTCCCTCTTTCCCCTTCTGTTTTTGTCGAGGACCAGTGGGTGCACCGACATACTAAGCGTATCCTTTGGCTTCCTCCCGATTATCGGCCATACTGCATTGCCGTTCATGGGGCCATTGTTGGTTTTGGGTACAAATTTGGGAGAATAATACTGATGGAGTTCGCTTTCTGATATCTTATGCTTACCTTTCTCACTCTAAACCCCCACCTCCCTCTCCCGCTCGCCTCCATTGCAGACTGCAGCTTTTTATGCATTGCATAGACAGCTTGCAAATCGAGAAGTTTTTATTAAAAAGGAGATTAAGGCAGGCCAGAAAAATGTTGAAGGAGGAGGACTATGATTACCGGCTTGCGGCAGCATATCAGCATGTGGTGCTGTGGAGCACTGGCGTGCCTGAAGAGCCATGGTATGATGTGCACACGTATCACAAACGCATTGGAGGAAAGAGCGCATTGGGACGCGGCGCATCGAAAATCTGAGAAGTAAAGAGTTTGAAGATTTTATGTTGCATCTAAAGCAGATATTCCAATTGTTATTGGCTTGTTAAGAACAAAGGGTTTGCCTTCTGAAATAATTTTACAGATTCTAGAAGCGGCAGCGTACGTCCCTGTTGGGCGGACGCCTGTTCGTGACGATCCGCTACATGTGGCGAATGCAGAGGAGTTAAAGAATTATGTGAACTATTGTTAGAAGCTGCTTGTTAGGATGGATATGCTTTGCAAGGAGAACGGTAGTTGGTTAGATTGGGAGGGTGAAGTGACAGATTCACTCTAAGTAGCTTTAAGGAAGTTCCGTGGGATGCTAGGGATTTCAGTGGTCGAGTCAAGAGAAGAGTATTTATGGCATAGTAAAAGGCAGGTGCTGAATGACCTATGCTTGCTAGGACACTGACTTATTGAGATTGATTGAAATTTAGGCTTGCTTTTAGTTGAAAGAAAACACATTTGCAGTGCTGTTCTTTTGAGTCATCTGGGTGGTGATGAACCAAGGACGTCAACCCGAACGCGCAGGGTGGATACTACGGCAACGCACTCCAGGCGGCTTCATACGGAGGCCACGAGCAGGTGGTAAAATTGCTCCAAGTTTTGGGAGATTAGCCTTATCCTAGCACTACCACAGACGTTAGGAAGTCGATCATCAGCCCTATGCGCGCTGCGGGGCGCGATCTCGTGTAGCGCCGCCCCATCGATTGGTACTTCCAGCGGAAGCGAACCACTGGTTCGGGCTAATGTGCGATGATACGTATGTCTTATCTTATGCATCTGTGTAAGTTTTTTTCACTGTAGGATGTGTGGCTGTGCGGATTGCGTCAGTTTTCGTATTGTTCAATCCGGGATTGGGTGTGTATGTATACTTTACATTACTTAGACAGCATACGCTAAGCCTTGTAGGTCGAGTGTCATGTCGCCTGCCAAGAGCTGTTCAGGGCCTCTCCAGCCGGATAAATCCGGACTACATTCCTGAACTATCAAAGAGCTTTTGACTGCCCTAAAGGCTTTTGTAGATAGTTGAAGATTATTTTAGCTGCACCGATAAACATGATTAACAGAGGCGTATATTGTTATATGGCTTTAGAATAGGTGAAGTCGTACAGGTAGATGACGAAAAGATTGACAGCATGGTGATGGATCATGTAATTTTCTATGTTTCTACTGGCTGTAGAAGCAGACGTACTTGATCGACACCTTGAAACTTAAATTACCCTAATTCCACTAAATTAGAGGATCCAGTCTGACTATTTGTAGAATCCTTTTCGGCATGGCGGGTTTTTCGTTACGCAGGGACGGACGTTACAGAAATCGTCTCCCGCAACTAATTTAGGAGTCATACCAATGTCTTTCGAGCACACTGTACAGCTTACATAGACTACGAGCACATTGATACGCTGGAAAAGAACCTTCAGCATGGACGCTGAGGCGAGAAACGGATCTCAATGGTGAGCGTTCGCAG